CTCGACGCGGAAGGCCCAGCGCACGCAGCCGTCGTCCATACCGACGCGCTCTGCCCCGAACCTCCCGAGTCAGACGCAGCCGCACCAGCCAACGGCTCCAGTCCAAAGACGTAGTCCACGTCAGAATCAGACACGCCGTCGTCTGCAGCATCTCCCTGTGCGCCGTAACAGCCACCTGCATGCTGAGCACCTTCGCTTCGAGCTCAGCACTATCAGGGGCCCTTGGCGCATGCGTCGTGAGGTGCTGCAAATGGGCGCTGAGAGAAGAAGTAGCGTCGAGTTCCTGCTCCACCATCGCAGCCTCCGCCTCCGACAATTCGGCGTTCACCTCGACCAGCTTCTTCTTGCGGACTGCAAGAAAATCTTTTTGCGGGTTGCAATCAACTTTTTAATACGTCCGCCCTTGTTGTCGACATACTTAAGCCGATTCGACATGGTCCGCAACTTAGCGCACGTCGGCGGAGATGTCTGAAGCTTAGCACGGATAGGTTATTCCTCCATTCGCAAAGCCATTCTGTGTGCCCTCGCCTTTTGAATCACCATTGTGCTTGGACGCTTGCGCAAGGCTACATGTTCTCCCTTCCCATTGGACTCATCGACCTGCATGGCACCACCCGACGCATGATCGCCTCGGGCCTGCTCAGTGTGCAGTTATTTGATCTTGATTTCGAGTTCCTGAATATTGGCACGGCCAGCGGGGTAACAGTTCTTGAAATCACCCCTTACCGCTCTTCCGCCGAGGTGGGAGTTTGCCTCAGAGACACGGTGACGATGGTTGCACGTCCCTCCGAACGCCACGCTTTTCGCCAAGCAACACAGCACGTATTTCTTCGCATGTGACATGATCGATCCACCATGGCTTTCTCTTTCGACCCTGACGCATGCTGCCCATGTCTTCGTGGGGTGGTCTGTCTGCTCACCTACTGGCGCTCACCTACTGGCGCAGGCGGCAGCCGACGAGCTGAGGCGGACCAGCCCTTAGGAGAGGACACCGTTTCAGGGCTGAACAGCCTTTCCTGTCTTGCAACAGGGGTGTCCTTTCTGCTTCCAGGGAAACCAGCAGATTGAAATCTTGGGCCAATATGGCTCTGGAGGGGAGGAGGAGGAGGAGGAGGAGGAGGAGGGAGGAGGAGGAGGAGGAGGAGGAGGGGGTGCTGCCCATCTCCGCTCCATCCCCGACGAGGGCCCCGCCCCTCTTGGCGGCCTTGCGGCCGACGTGCCCGCGGCGACGCCGCTGCCCGCGCTACCGCCCTCGCGCCGAGCGCACCTCGCCGCCGTGCCCGACGCAGTCGCAGCCACCAGGCAGAGGAGGCCCTCCTCCTCCCCTCCTCCTCCTCCCCCTCCTCCTCCCCCTCCTCCTCCTCCATCTCCTCCTCCTCCTCCTCCTCCTCCTCCTCCTCCTCCTCCCTCCACTCCTCCTGCTCCTCCTCCTCCTCCTCCTCCTCCTCCTGCTCCTCCTCCACCTCCTCCTCCTCCTCCTCCTCCTCCTCCTCCTCCTCCTCCTCCTCCCCCTCCCCCTCCCCCTCCCCCTCCCCTCCGAGACCTCGGGGGTCTCAGGTGGCCCAACACTGGTTCCGGCGCGATCCTTGCGCGATCCTTCGAGCCCATCGACTCCGACCCCATCCAGGAGGCCTCTACGCAACGCGCGCCCCATCGATCCATTTGCTGGTGATGCCCCCCTTGCGTGAGGAACTCCGTGCTAAGAGCGAAACCAGGGCGTCTGCGCGCATGAATGTGCACGCTTGCAGAGAAGCCGCACCCCGGGAGCATGCGCGGCATGGGGAAGACGTGCTCGTGCACGAGCGTCGAAGCTCTCGCTGCTTGGCTCGGTCTTCAATGCGGCTTGGGCTGAGAGATCGCGGATGCCACGCTTGCCTTCGGCGCGTACGCACTTTGGCGGCTCCCTACCATTGGGTCCGTCGCTGTCTCCCTCTAGGCCTCCTAGATGGGGTCGAAGTAGATGGGGTCGGAGTATCGCGCCGCATCGCTGATGCATCGGCGATGTCCCAATTGTCTCCACGCCGACGTCGCCGATGCATCGCCGACGTCGCCAGAGCATGGCCGATGCATCGCCGATGCATCGGCGATGCATCGCCGATGTATCGGCGATGCGGCGGGATCCTCCGACCCCATCTACTCCGACCCCATCTAGGAGGCCTCTACTCCCGCTCTGCCCACACCTGCAGACCTTGGTTGCCGATCCGAGGTGCACGACGCTCCGTCGTCGGGGCGCAGGGCTCTGCCCGTGCCGCGAGCCCGCCGTGAACGAACCTTGCTCGCGAAGCTGCGGTCGGGAGCCGGCTGGGGGTGTTGCTGCAGATCCCGCCCTGGACCACACAGCGGTGACCCATGCCAGGAAGCACCCTGCTGCCCTGCTTGCCTCCATAGTGCCCTGGGTTTCTTGAGACTCGATGGCTCTGCCATGCAGATATTCTAGAAGATTACGACCCAAGGGACCCCCGTTGAATGTCGCAAACAATGATAACAGGGTCGCGGCCAACGCCATCAGGCTCAGAACCGAGATGGTTGATTGAGCTCGTTACGACTGCCAACGCGAGTTCGTCGGCGGCTCGAGTGTTGCGAATGTCCTTAATATGGACCTCGCGATGACGAAGGTGGCCCTTTGTGACGACGCTGGTTTGGCTGTCCTCTTCGACATCAAGGCGGCATTCCCGCTCGTGGCCCACCCACGCCCTCATGCGAGACGCTCTGGCGGCCTTTTGCTTGCCGCAGCGGGTCCTCAATTTCGTGACAGCTCTCCCTACACACACGCACTCATTGACACACACACACACACGCACACACACAAGTTCACCATGCTATCTGCTGAGGGCAAGCAGCTTGAAGGCTCCCGGCCTTCGGCAGGCATCCGGCGGGGTTGCGCTCTGTCGCCCTTGCTATTCGCAGCTGAACTTGGTGTCCTGCTTCGCCGTGTACGACGCCCCGTGCCGGGGCGATCGCGCGGGCTCACGCGGACGACGTCGCCGTGGTGCCCCCCTTTGGCATTGCTGCGTTTCCGACGATGGCCTGGACATTGATTAGCATATCTCGCAGATCTGGCCGATTATAGAATGTTTGACAAACGATGCGCGCGCCGCTATCACTTCCAGATGCAGTCCTACACGCCAGAATGATTTCTGGGTGCTTCGTTGCTTTGACAGGTGGAGTTCCACGCAAAGCATGTGGGATGCGTTCTCGAGCCAAGCCGCGGAGACCAAATTTTTGCGAAAGTCTCTCAGGAAGCTCCTGGGTCGCGTTCCGGATGCGCCGCGGGGGGGGGGGGGGGCGGACTCTTGTTTCAAAGCGTAGGACGCAGCATTGCGTTTTCGCCCTGGGGCAGCGCGCACATGATCCCAGACAGCGTGCGTTCTCGCCGCATCTGGACAGCCTCCCGCTTGGTTGGCTGGGAGCAAGCGCACTGAAGCCGCTGTCTCCGAGCCCGTGTTCCTGGACTTGGATTCTGTTGCACCCCGGCCGGTCTCTACAATTTGCGGGGGGATCGGTCCCTCAATGAGTGTACTGGACGCCGCGAGGCTTTGCGTTTGTCTGCGTATATATAGGTGGGCGACCCGCGTACCCCGACGTTGCCGCCCTGTCGCGTCACGTCTGTGGATGAGAGATACGGAGCATTCGTAGGGGAACATAAGTTGGCATACACATCAAAACTTCGGAGGTCACGCGGATTTCGGATCGGCGCTGGACCCCCTCCTGGTCGCGCGGAGCGCGCCAGGGGCGGCGCCGGAGGCGCCGCCGGGGGGCCCCAGCGCCGATCCGTGAAATCCGCGCGGACCTCCGAGTTTTGCATATTTAGGTAACTTTTTGTTCCCCCAATTCGGACCGTCTTGGCAACATTCCAGCGTCCGTTCGACTTGGCACCGACGGCCCGACGGCCCCGACGTTGCCGCCTTGTCGCGCCACGTCTGTGGGTGAGAGATACGGAGCATTCGGACCGTCTTGGCAGCATTCCAGCGCCCGTTCGACTCGGCACCTCGAGGCGCGGCGGGGCACGCCGCGGGAGTCCCGATGCCGCGCCCTCCAGCGCCAGGGAGGGGCGGCCCACCCCCCGCGCCCTCCGCGCGCCCACCCGTGCCAGCGACGGGCCGCGGGCCAGGGGGCTCGGCACCGCTGGGGGCATGACGGCCAGTGGGGGCGGAGGGGGGGGAGAGCAGGGGGGGGGAGGGAGGGAGGGAGGGGGAAGGCACTGGGAGACTGGGAGAAGGGAGCAGGAGGAGGACGAGGAGAAGGAGGAGGGGGAGGAGGGAGGGAGGGAGGGAGGGAGGGAGGGGGAACACAAGGGGGAGGAGGTGGGGAGGGAGAGGGAAGACAAGGCGGGGAGGAGCAGGGGGGGGGACGACGAGAAGGAGGAGGGTGAGGGGAAAGGGAGGGGGTGAGGAGGGAGCTGAAGGAATGCCCTCTGTCTCGCGAGCACGCCAGCAGCGCCCACCCAGGCTTGGTCTCCAGGCTCATGTCGGCTGTTATGCCTTCTTCGTTTTCGAGCCGAGACACTCGGCGCCGTGGAAGGTCAGTCCCTCCCAACCCCCTCCTTTTAAGTCGGGCATGTGCCTCTACAGGGGGAAAGAACATTCTAGAATAGTTTTGAACAAACATTGGGTCGATGTTTCGTCTTCTTGACTATGTTTGATTTGTTTGACCTGCTTTGTATGTTTCTTCCGAACTCCGCCTGCAGGAGGACATGCCCGACCTAATCCTCCTTCTCTTCCACTTCCCTGCCTCCCTCCCCCATCCTTCTCCCCGTCCTGTCCTCCGACCCCGCGGCCTCGGAGGCCGCCCCACCTCCTGCCCCCCCCGGCTCCCAGGATCCCTGAGGGCTTGACGACTTTTCGCCAATCGACTTGCGGGGTCGAGCCAGAGAAATCAAGGTAAACGCAGATAAATCAAGGTGAACCCCCCAGGCAAATCTCAAGGGAAAGTTCGAGCAAATCGCGACCGCTCCAGCGCGAGTCGAGGGACGCCAGAAGCCGTCGAGCCCTTGACGACAGGAGAAGGCCATCATCGAAGAGGAGCAGAAGCGCCTGGACGGCCTGGAGGCTGCCCGACTCGAGGGCGAGAAGGTGCGCGCGCGCCCCCCCCCCCCGGGGCCAGGCCCGGCGTCTCGCGGGCGCTTTTGCTGAATGAAGCCAGCAAAGGAAGTGCACTGCTGTTCAAAGTTGAGTTTTCAGGCGCGATCGCAGTGCAAGGGGAGCGACGAGTGACACAGACATAAAAACTCGTCGACTAGACGTAAGAGCGACCTTTCGCCGGAGTGACCTTTGGTGCGGACCCAATGGGGTCTCGCGATCGCCGAAGGCGAGGCGGCAGTGGCGTCTTGCGCGCTTGTGTTCGGCCCCCCCGCGGCCCCCCAAAAGCCGCGCACCAAAGGTCACTCTTACCCAGGTTCACTCCTGTGTGTAGCCGATAGGGGAACGAAGAATGACACAGGCATAAAAACTCGGAGGTCCCCCCTGCCGCCCCTGGCGCGCTGGAGGCGCCGCCAGGGAGGGGGGTCCAGCGCGGATCCGAGAAGTCCGCGCGGACCTCCGAGCTGTTATGTTTGTGTCATTCTTCATTCCTCTAAGTATGCCTCATGGACGTCTGCTTGGGGGAACTGCTCGGAATTCTGAGGCCGCACGCGTGCGTGGCAGCCCGATCAGGGGTGCGTCTCTGCAGACAAATTTGAGGGAGAGAGCCCGACGGATTGCTCGCAGCAGTTCCCACCATCCAAGAAGAACCTGTCGGAGGTCACCATTGAGTCTTATGTGATTCTGGCCCAAGGTGTCCTGGTCTTATCTCGTGAGGGGTGCTCTCCCTGTCAAAGCAGTGGCCATCTTGGGCCAATCTTAGGCCATGCCCACATCTGGCAACGCCCGAATCCGTGCTCAAGACTCGCTCGAAATCCGCTCGAGGAGCGAGCATTGGGGGAGTTACGGGCGAACGTGGGCGGACGTTTCCGTCTAGAGGGCCGCCGATATATTCCAGACATTCGTGCATCGTTAGTTTGTGCATGGGTAGGCCTCCCTTTCACCGTTCAGCATGAAGAAAAGGGTTGGTGATTTCGGGGTTCACAGACCATTCCTCAGCCCTAAAGCCGTCAGAGAGCGACTCGGGATGAAGAATTGGTCTCGGGGGAAGCCCCCGGGTTCAGGACCCGCTTCCACCACCTTCTTTTCCCCGTGCCAAAATAGGTCACATGTTTCCCAGAAGAAGCCAAGCGATAGCGTCGCTCGAAGTCTCTCTTCGAGCGAACGCCATCGGCACTCGTCCGACGTCTCTGTTTGTCATGGACGGGCCGTTAACAAAAGACTCGATCAACTCGTCGTCGTCGTCGTCGTCGTCGTCGTCGTCGTCGTCGTCGTCGTCGTGGACGTCGTCGTCGTCGTCGTCGTCGTCGTCGTCGTCGTCGTCGTCGTCGTCGTCGTCGTCGTCCCAGGCGTTGTCTTCACCGCGGGTGCCGACCCGGCCCGGCAGGCGACGGGTCCCGCCTCTTGGCCGCGAGACACCTCCCTCGCAGCTCCTCGGTGGGCGCGGGGGGGGGGCGCCAGCCCCGCCGACGGCCCCTTATCGACCCCTCGTCGTGGATCCCCGCCGCGCGCCGAAGGCACTCCAACACACCGCGCGGTGCGTCTGAGGTGGCGAGGTTGCACATTCCACGTCGTGGCGTGTGGGGGGGGGGGCGGGCCGACGTCTCGCTCACTGTGCTTTCGATCCCGCTCGATCGCAGTTAGCACTCCCATCTGCTGCCCGCGCTTGCGGACCCCCTGCGCCGCTGACTTGAACATGGAGGGGGGGCGGGCGGGGCACACCCCTCACCGAACGCGGAGCAGGCGACGCGCAGCCAGCCCCTGGGGGCACCCGCAGAGAACATCGCGAGAGGGCGGCTGTCGGGCGTGGGGGGCAGGCCGTGGCAGGCCCTGCAGCCGAAGAAGAGAACACGCCATCAACAGAAGCTTTTGGCGCCCCGCGCGGATTTCTTGGATCTGTGCTGGAGCGCCCTGGCGGCGCCTCCGGCGCCGCCCCTGGCGCGCGGAGCGCGCCAGGGAGGGGGGTCCAGCGCGGATCCAGGAAGTCCGCGCGGAGCGCCAAAAGTTTATGTTTATGGCGTGTTTCTTCTTCTATGCAGGGGCGGAGGCACAGAGAACAGCACTTCTGGGCGAGAGCCCTCGTCAGACATCTGCGGCATGCCCCACCCGCCGGGGCGACAGCGTGACAGCTCCCCTCGCCGAAGCTCGACATCATAGCGAGCCGTCCCGATCTCAAGATTCCGCTGCCCGCGCCCCCGGAGCCACGCTCGAGAGACTGGCTCTAGATGTCAGTCGGATTGGCTCAGCGGGGCCCCTACAAGCAAGTCTGAAGGGTTCTCGCCGAGACTGGTCGTTGTAGAAGTATCATTCGGTAACTGAAAGAAGGCATTCTGGGATTCCCAGATTCCAATATACTTTAAGCGCCTTCTTACTTCAATGATCGAGTGTCTTCACCTTTTCTGTCATCCTTAGGGGGCCGACGGAACCCAATCCACTCTCAATGCCTTCCTACTTCATGTTTCTTCCTACTTCTTCCGACTGATGGGCACCTGATGACCTTCTGGTCTGGCCAGCGCGTCTGGGGCTGTGGGCGATGGACTGCTTGCCAGCGTGCCCCCGAAAGGTTCCCTGGCTTGTGTCCCGAGCAGGAGACGGCCCCCAGTGGTGCATCAGGCCTGGGCGGTGTCCCTGGATGTCGCGGCCCGTCCAGGCCGTACCAGTGGCCAGCCCATGGTGGCGCAGCCCTCGGAAAGCCCAGCCCCTCCTTCACTGGCTCTGGAAGCGGACACTGCCTCCGCTTGGTTGATTGGAGGCTCGCTGGCATCCTCTCCAGCACAGCCCTCGTAGATACTGTGTGTGCGGAGCTCAGGGGGCTGGCGTCCCCCTCCCAGGGTGGGCAGCAGCAGCGGGTGGCGGACGTCAAGCCAGCCCCGCCTTCCACCCCTCCCCGGAGCGGTTCCGGACACAGTTCGATGTTGTGGACCAGTGCTTGTCAAATCGCCGCTTCGCCACGGTCACCTGCAAGGATCGCGGAGAGATTTGCGCCAGCCATTCCCAGGGAGCCCTCTCAAAAGCGAGCGCACAGTTTCTGCTACTCAGCGGCTCCAGAAGTGGGACCCCATGGTGGCTTGACGCCTGATGGTAACTCCGTGCTGCAATTGTTGTTGGAAGATGTCTCATCGGGCTGGGAAGTCGCAGTGGCCGAGGACCACAAGTTGTTCGGATTGTGTCCAGGTGCAGAGGTGCAGAACATGGAAGCTCACCTCTGGCGACGACATCCAAGGCTGCGGAACGGTAGATACGCCCGTTCGAAGGAGGGTCGCACCTTCAGTTGCGACATTGGTCGGCTCGGAAGTTCGGGCCGGCTTGCTCGGTCACTGAATCTGCACCAGGGCCGGCGAGGGAGTGGGCCCGAGGGAGTGCGGCGAGCAGGCGCCCCCGCTGGAGCCTCACGTGAGGCCTTTTCTCCGTGCGAGGGTCAGTCTGGCCGCAGGGGGTGCTCTGACGGTTGGGACGGGAGACCAAGAATACAAGGAGCGATCGAGGAGGAGGGGCAAGAGGGAAAGAAGGACGCGGGATGAGGAACGACGGATGAGGGAGAAATGAGGGGGCCGGACGAGGGAGCAAGACATAATGGGGAAGGAGGGATGAGGAGGGAGAGATGAGGAAGAAGAGTTTGACAAGGAGGTGAAGGAGTAGATGCTGGTTCACCTAAAAGGCGTCATTCCAAATAAGAGAAATCGGATAATATCATCGCGGGGACCTATTTCATAGCGGTGTCCATTACACCAAGGTTTCGTTCAGAGGGAGTATAGGGGTATACGGCATCCGATGTTCTTCTTAACATGTGACTCGAGAAGCAGGCCAACTTCAGTATCGAGTCAGGGTGGCATTGTTCTGCTACAGGTACGTCGGCATTCTGACGTCAGTTCCTGTCCCCGCATAGAGCCCTCGAGGGCGATTTGTTGTGCAGGGCAGTCAAGGGAATGCGCAGGATGGCCCAATCGGTCAAAAGCCATCATTCCTCAATTGATCAGACAGCCGTCTGTGGTAGGGACTCCGACACCGTGGAAATTCATATCGTTCATACTAGTCAGCATGTCT